GAGAAACAATTAAAGAAGAAATAGAATCTATAAAGAAAAACAAAGTTTGAGAGTTAGTTGATTTACCAATGAATAGAAAAGCAATTGGGTGTAAATGGATCCTTAAAAAAAAATTTAAATTGGATGGATTTATAGATGAATATAAAGTTAGGCTAGTGGTTAAGGAATACACACAAAAGGAAGGTATGGATTATCATGAAATCTATTCTTCTATAGCTAAGTTTACCTCAATAAGAATATTAATGTCTTTGGTTGCTACACACTTAGACCTAGAGTTATATCAAATGGATGTTAAGACTGCTTTCCTTAATGATAAACTTAAAAAGAAAATTTTTATGTATCAACTACAAGGATATGAAGTTGAAGGTAAAGAAGATAAGGTGTACAAATTGAGTAAGTCCTTACATGGTTTAAAACAATCCTCAAGGCAATGTTATCATTATTTTCATAATGCAATTATATCTTATGGTTTTGTTCCAAATAACTATGATTATTATATATATACTTAGAATAATGGGAGTTGTTATATTATTTTTTTTATATGTGGATGATATTTTACTTGCCGAAAATAATATAAAAAGAATTTTAGAACTGAAAAATTGGTTAAACACTAAGTTTGAAATGAAAGATATAGATGAAACACATTATGTACTTGAAATTAAAATTTCTAGAGATAGAAAGAAAAGAAAATTAAGTTTGTCCCAAAAATCTTATTTGAAAAATATTTAAAGAAATTTAAAATAGATTCTTGTAAACCTATTGAATTATCTATTTACAAAAGAGCAAAATTGTCTATGAATATGACTCTTAAAACTGAAGAGAAAATGCTAGAAATGAAATCTAAACCCTAGGCGGAAGTTGTTGGTAGTCTTATGTATGCTATGTTATGCACTAGACCGGACTTTAGCTATGTTGTTAGTTTGATTAGTCGATATTAAAGTAATCCGGGTATACCTCATTAGTTAGCTGTGAAACGTGTACTTAGATACATATAAGACACATTATATTTTTCTTTAACATATCAAGATGATGATATATATATGTTAATGGTTATTGTGATACTGATTTTGCTGGTGATATTGATGATAGAAAATCCATCACGGGTTATATATTTAATTTTTATAGTGGTGTTATTTCATGGTCTAGTAAAAAGTAAGGTTGCAAGCTAAAAGTACTATGGAAGCTGAATATGTTACTTGTAGTATGACTGTCTATGAGGTCGTATGGTTAAAATAGTTTCTAACTGATTTAAAACTTTCTTGTGCAGATAATATGCCTATTTGTATTTTTTGTGATAATAAGACTGCGATAAAAACCATTAAAAATGAAAAAAATGGGTCCAAAGGTAAGCATATTGAGTTACAATATCACTATATAAATGATANACAATTAAAGAAGAAATAGAATCTATAAAGAAAAACAAAGTTTGAGAGTTAGTTGATTTACCAATGAATAGAAAAGCAATTGGGTGTAAATGGATCCTTAAAAAAAAATTTAAATTGGATGGATTTATAGATGAATATAAAGTTAGGCTAGTGGTTAAGGAATACACACAAAAGGAAGGTATGGATTATCATGAAATCTATTCTTCTATAGCTAAGTTTACCTCAATAAGAATATTAATGTCTTTGGTTGCTACACACTTAGACCTAGAGTTATATCAAATGGATGTTAAGACTGCTTTCCTTAATGATAAACTTAAAAAGAAAATTTTTATGTATCAACTACAAGGATATGAAGTTGAAGGTAAAGAAGATAAGGTGTACAAATTGAGTAAGTCCTTACATGGTTTAAAACAATCCTCAAGGCAATGTTATCATTATTTTCATAATGCAATTATATCTTATGGTTTTGTTCCAAATAACTATGATTATTATATATATACTTAGAATAATGGGAGTTGTTATATTATTTTTTTTATATGTGGATGATATTTTACTTGCCGAAAATAATATAAAAAGAATTTTAGAACTGAAAAATTGGTTAAACACTAAGTTTGAAATGAAAGATATAGATGAAACACATTATGTACTTGAAATTAAAATTTCTAGAGATAGAAAGAAAAGAAAATTAAGTTTGTCCCAAAAATCTTATTTGAAAAATATTTAAAGAAATTTAAAATAGATTCTTGTAAACCTATTGAATTATCTATTTACAAAAGAGCAAAATTGTCTATGAATATGACTCTTAAAACTGAAGAGAAAATGCTAGAAATGAAATCTAAACCCTAGGCGGAAGTTGTTGGTAGTCTTATGTATGCTATGTTATGCACTAGACCGGACTTTAGCTATGTTGTTAGTTTGATTAGTCGATATTAAAGTAATCCGGGTATACCTCATTAGTTAGCTGTGAAACGTGTACTTAGATACATATAAGACACATTATATTTTTCTTTAACATATCAAGATGATGATATATATATGTTAATGGTTATTGTGATACTGATTTTGCTGGTGATATTGATGATAGAAAATCCATCACGGGTTATATATTTAATTTTTATAGTGGTGTTATTTCATGGTCTAGTAAAAAGTAAGGTTGCAAGCTAAAAGTACTATGGAAGCTGAATATGTTACTTGTAGTATGACTGTCTATGAGGTCGTATGGTTAAAATAGTTTCTAACTGATTTAAAACTTTCTTGTGCAGATAATATGCCTATTTGTATTTTTTGTGATAATAAGACTGCGATAAAAACCATTAAAAATGAAAAAAATGGGTCCAAAGGTAAGCATATTGAGTTACAATATCACTATATAAATGATATAATACAAAAAGAACATGTTACTATTGATTATCTTTGTACAAAAAAATATGGTTGCAGATCCATTGACAAAACTTACTGGAACCGAAGAATTTAAACGACATGTCATTACTATGAGTTTAAGTTATGAATGAACATCTCGGGCTTGTAGCCAAGTAGGAGACATTAGAATATGTGGCTAAAATTCCTCAATATTAATTAAGTCATAATTGGTAGTCAAATTCGGAATATATAAAACCTCAATCAATTGGTTAAATATTGTATTATTCATGACATATATCATAGATGTATTTTTTGTAAAATTAATTGGCTCGTTTAGTAGACGTATTATAAGAGAATTAAATATTTGATTATATTATTTTTTATTTAATCGCTCCTAATACGTTGTTTGATAAGTAAATTTAATATCGTATTAATTTCAAAAATGTATACTAATCGTACACTTATCATATATTTTTTATACGATAGACTCATATTATGAAGGTACTTTAATACCACCAAGAAAGGTGATATTATGTTCCAACTCAAACGTATGATTCTACACATTTACTATTATAACCTCCTAACTGATAAAATCAAGTTGTCATCAACGTAACAAACACGGGTTGATGATATTTTTGTTAATTTAACATTAATACGATGAAATAATTTCCTAATCAAACAACCGATTGGATTAAATAACTACTATCCAACGTTTATATTATGTATTGTCAAACACTAGATAAAATTACGTATTATTCTAATACTCTATTCAATCTTGTTTTTTGTCCTTCTGTATTGTATTAGACTGGATTACTCTATCTAATCCATCCATTTTTAATACGGCAACTAAACGAGCCAATTATGTATTAAATATTATTTTATAATGATACATACATACATATATATTACATTGATATAATTGGATGTTTGAGTTGAATCTTTTCTAGTCAGCATGGTTGATTTAGCTAAAGGGACCCATCAAGTAGTGAGAGACTAGTCAATACTAATTAGAATATACTTAGTTTTTTTTTACTGCAGAGAGTTGAGGAAATATTGGTGGAGTTGAGGATATTAAAATGAGTGATAAATGTTAGTTGAACAATTAGCTGATATATTTTGCTTTATAAATAAGATTTTTTTACATACAAAGAGAACACACCAAAAAACACTCAATTGGAGAGAATACTTATTGAGGGAAAATCTCAATTCTACTGCTTTCATATAAAAGAGAATTTTTTAATTCTCAAAAACTAGTTTCCCATTCATCAAATTTATCAAGTTCAACAAATTCCTTACAGGGATGGATTTGAAAGAATTTCATAAATACAATCGAATATGCCCCATAAGAACCATTCAAATTGCCCGGTGTGATTGGTTCTCTAAGACAAGGGAAGGAACTGGATTATATAAGGTTCCCTAACTGTAGAACCACCTTGTCACAAGATTTAGCTGTTTTAGCTGCATCAAACAGTCTAATTGCTTTCACAAAGAGGGCCCGGGGAAGATTTTATCATACCTAGCTATCCTCAGGTACTCGATGCCACTTATGTTTAGAACATGAGTTGTATACTAGGAAATAGGATATGAACCTACCGAATTAGGTGTTTCCTGATTCGGGCGACACCATGTGCCAATAAACCAGTAAAAAATGGTTACATGAGTCAAGCTTTTATGGATTAAGACGATAATATACAGGAGAGAAAATCATATTTATAACTTCAGCCCAATTGTCTTTTTGGTATGACACGTACACGTGAAAAAATTAGCAACAGAAAAGGACGTTTGTCATCAATTGAGAAATATTGCTACATTCTTAAAAAAACATCTAGGGATAATGTGACGTTTTACAATTTAAAGGAGAAAAGTGCAATTACTCATAAATATCAATTTCTTAATGCACCAAATCAATTTGGTAGGTGGCTCACCACAGAATTTCCATTTTCCACTATTCTTAGTCTCAGGAAGGCATTGTCGTTGAGATTGAATACACAAAGACCCACATAAATAGTATACAAGAGCTCAGCAGCATTGGTAGTTGCAGTTAGGTTTGATCAGTAACGGTTGGTTTATCAAACTATCTGCCCCTCATCTCTCTCTCTCTCTAACAGTTCACTTCTCACCAGAGCCAACTTCCCCAGCTAATAACTTGCATGACTTGCCAATTTCTTGTACCTTTTTCATGTTTAAATCCAACCCAAACTCTCTATTCCATAAACATAACTTGGCAGCATTGGAAGAATAGCTTCAGCTGCAAACATGAAGCTAACGTTGTCGTTGGCGATTATAGTGACGGTTTTAGCCATCACCATCGATGGATACAGCTGCAAGATCGTTCAGTTCATCTTTGGAGACTCCCTCTCGGACGTTGGCAACAACGAATATCTCACTAATAGCCTTGCCAGGGCAAGTCTACCGTGGTACGGGATTGATTTTGGCAATGGCATGCCTAATGGGAGATTCACCAATGGCCGCACAGTGGCTGATATAATAGGTATTAGTCACAAGAAAATAATCAGCGCATTAAAATTCTCCCTTGTTTCTTTTACCAATCCTTTCTTAGTCGTTCCGGGATTCAATATTTTTACACGTACTTTTCTATACTTAACTCGCTAATAATATTTAGGAGACAAGATTGGTCTTCCGAGGCCACCTGCGTTTCTAGATCCGACTTTAAACGCAGACATCATACTGCAAAATGGAGTAAATTTTGCCTCTGGAGGTGGTGGGATTTTAAATGAAACTGGCAGCCTCTTTGTAAGTTAAAAACTGTAAATGTTCATACCTATGCGCTTTTTTTTTTTTACTAAGTTCCACACAGAACATATTTGATAAAAATTTGTGTTTTTTTTTCGATGTCTTTCAGATTCAGAGATTTTGTATGTATAAACAAATAGAACTGTTTCAAGGCGTGCAAGATCTAGTAACAGCCAAAATTGGTCCAACAGCAGCACGGAAGTTTTTCCAAGAAGCACACTATGTGGTGGCTTTAGGAAGCAATGATTTTATCAACAACTACTTAATGCCCGTTTACGCTGATTCATGGACTTACAATGATCAGACCTTCATGAACTACTTAATGGAAACACTCGGGGCACAACTTACAGTATGACCTATTACCAGATATCAAATTTAATCAACTAATTATCAATTAGTGTTTTTTATTATTATTATTTTTTTTGTTATAGCTATTGCATAGCTTAGGGGCACGGCAGCTGATGGCGTTTGGACTTGGACCTATGGGCTGTATTCCCCTCCAGAGGGTCCTGAGTACATCCAATGCGTGTCAAGAAAAAACAAACAAGCTGGCTCTAAGCTTCAATAATGCTGGAAACAACCTTCTGAATGAATTGTCGAGTAGCCTTTCAAATGCAAGCTTCAAATTTGGAGATGCTTATGATGTAGTTAATCAACTAATTAAAAATCCATATAAATATGGTACGCATACTCTTTCCCTTTCTTATCGCTTAAGCTTCAAAATTATCATCATTTCTGTAATGCAGAAGTATTGGCAGCCTTGGCACCATAAGCGAAAATGTTGAAAACAGGATAGTCCAGTGTAATCGGACATTGGGATCTCGATTGTAGCTAGATTATCTATGTCGCTTGTGTTAAGCTTTTTTTGCTTTAAATTCTTCCCCCAAATGATAGCAACGCGCATATGTGGTTGCCATTTTTGAAATCAGCCCGTTAGCTAGGTACTGCTTGGTAACTCTTTTTCAAGCCAAAAAAGCGATATTGTCAAAAAAGCAAAATCATCCATAATTACTATTTCACAAAAATGGTTTAGAAGTGCTTTAGGATATAAATTACACTCTTTTTCTCTCAGTCACTCTATTTGTTGCCATTACACTTCATGGCTGCATGTAAATTTTGTTTGCAGGATTCAATAACTCCGATTCACCGTGCTGCTCTTTTGGGAGGATTCGACCAGCTCTGACATGTATTCCTGCATCAACATTGTGCAAAGACAGAAGCAAATATGTGTTTTGGGATGAGTACCATCCATCAGATAGTGCTAACGAACTTGTTGCTAATGAGCTCATCAAAAAACTTGGATTTTTGAATGCTCCTTCCCCATCACCAGCCATTGCTCCATCCTCAGAGGGAGCTTAAAACTGTAACGCCAAACTGTTTCTATTTCCGGCAAGTGTTTCATGAATATATGTATGAAATACTATTTTCTTTGGAGGCACTGATGAGTGACTTTTATACAATAAGTAATATTCACCTGTTCTTTGGTTGTTTCATATTTTCTTTTATGTAAACATGTTGATTATACAAATGGCCTCTTAAATCAGGTACAAGACGTGAATGTGCGTGTGTGTGTGTAGAAATAAATGTCTTCCTGATTAATTAATAAACCTCCTGCCCTCAAACGGGAAACAAAGGAGAAATGCAGCAGAGGGAAGTGTGGTCGTGCAATTGCTGAATATATAGGAGAGTGAGTTTTCAATCAATCAAGGTTAGAATTATGTAATAGAGGAAGCAAAACAGAAGTTTTACTACTAACCAATAGTTCCATCTGTCTCTCTCTCTCTCTCTCTCTCTCTCACATGGTCGTCATTATTTTGTTGTAGACATGGCTACATGTTCCAGGAATTGATCTTTAATTCCTGTGGGAGGGAATATTGTGCCATCCTGCTTTTCAAGAGTACTCATAAAGTTGTAAGGGCAATAAGATTACTGATATTTTTTGTTTCCCATTTCAATCTACGAAGAATCATTCAAAACACACGCATTTTAGATTTGTGACTGTAATATAAACTCTGGATTAGTGCAATAACTAGTGAACCTTGTGTTTCTATTGTAAACCATGGTTCTCTTGTGAGAGTTGAACTGAAAGCCTTGAAGTTGCTACTCTTGAAGTCTTGTCATCCTAGTGTATCCAAATGGTAGCATTATTGCTTTAATCCACCAAATTCAGGGAAATTCAAAAAGATTGGCAGCTCCTAAAAATAAGAAGGCTGGTCCAAATCACTTTCTTTTTCATAATAACGAAGGCACGCTACTACCATTATGTACTTCTTTGTACCATGAATGTTCATAATGTTATTTCCATGGAAGCAACAGGGGTGTTTAAGATAACTTATTACTGCTAAAACAACCCAAACAAGCAATAATTGAATAGGAATCATATGGTTATGCAGGCCATAGTCAGTGTCAAGACATTTATCATTGAAAACAGCAAGGCCATACTGGTGGATCAAAATTTTAAGCAAGGTTAAAAGAACTTAAGCTTAATAACAAGCTGTAGCAAGTTTTCANACAATAAGTAATATTCACCTGTTCTTTGGTTGTTTCATATTTTCTTTTATGTAAACATGTTGATTATACAAATGGCCTCTTAAATCAGGTACAAGACGTGAATGTGCGTGTGTGTGTGTAGAAATAAATGTCTTCCTGATTAATTAATAAACCTCCTGCCCTCAAACGGGAAACAAAGGAGAAATGCAGCAGAGGGAAGTGTGGTCGTGCAATTGCTGAATATATAGGAGAGTGAGTTTTCAATCAATCAAGGTTAGAATTATGTAATAGAGGAAGCAAAACAGAAGTTTTACTACTAACCAATAGTTCCATCTGTCTCTCTCTCTCTCTCTCTCTCTCTCACATGGTCGTCATTATTTTGTTGTAGACATGGCTACATGTTCCAGGAATTGATCTTTAATTCCTGTGGGAGGGAATATTGTGCCATCCTGCTTTTCAAGAGTACTCATAAAGTTGTAAGGGCAATAAGATTACTGATATTTTTTGTTTCCCATTTCAATCTACGAAGAATCATTCAAAACACACGCATTTTAGATTTGTGACTGTAATATAAACTCTGGATTAGTGCAATAACTAGTGAACCTTGTGTTTCTATTGTAAACCATGGTTCTCTTGTGAGAGTTGAACTGAAAGCCTTGAAGTTGCTACTCTTGAAGTCTTGTCATCCTAGTGTATCCAAATGGTAGCATTATTGCTTTAATCCACCAAATTCAGGGAAATTCAAAAAGATTGGCAGCTCCTAAAAATAAGAAGGCTGGTCCAAATCACTTTCTTTTTCATAATAACGAAGGCACGCTACTACCATTATGTACTTCTTTGTACCATGAATGTTCATAATGTTATTTCCATGGAAGCAACAGGGGTGTTTAAGATAACTTATTACTGCTAAAACAACCCAAACAAGCAATAATTGAATAGGAATCATATGGTTATGCAGGCCATAGTCAGTGTCAAGACATTTATCATTGAAAACAGCAAGGCCATACTGGTGGATCAAAATTTTAAGCAAGGTTAAAAGAACTTAAGCTTAATAACAAGCTGTAGCAAGTTTTCAGAACAGTATCTCTCTTTTCTGCTTAATCACCAAGTCCTTGAATATATCATAAAAAAAAGCCTATGAAAATATAATAACATTGTTTAGCACTAATTGAACAAGTTTAATCATTTATTATTTGTGTGGATTTTTTGTGGGGATGTATTTGTGCTTCAAAAACCAAAGGAAATGGTAAAAAGATTTCATTCATTTTCATGGGACCATCCAACATGCCTTAATGGAATGGAAAGGTAGTTAAGTGGATGCCTACCACTTCATATGCACTTTCTCCACTGAAACATAAAGTAGTGCTTAATTACTCAAGATATTGACAATGCTTTTAAAGTGGTTTACCTAACTTGCATATTCTAACAATCTACATACATTAATTACTATGAATGTTTTGAAAACTTAGTTGTCCAACAAACTGTTGAAAGCTATTGAACTTTTTTTAAACCTCTTTTTTTGGGTGATTTTGTTTTTAATTCTCAACCAAAATGTGGTTAATCTCAAAGGAACCACAAGGAACTTCATAGGTAAGAAGCCAAGAAAAGAATTTCTTAGTTGATGATGGTAAGAGTTAGGTTAGCTAATGGAAACAACATGGTTTGTCACCTCGTTTGGAGTGTTAATTACATTTCAACACATGAGTACCGGGACACAAAAATCATCCGTAGTGAACATACCACCAAGACAAAGATTCTTGTGTAAACTCCCTATTTCATATCCTACTTGTAAGCTCAAAATTTCTTTTCACCACTGCTAAAAGCTAACCAGGGGAGAAGGAAGAGATTTGACATTCAAATGGGGTTTTCAAGCACTTACTGATCAATGAATGGAAACGTGAATGCCCCAATACCTTTGGGATAATTTGTAAAATACATATGCTTGTGACAAGGATAATATGTCACAAAAAACAGGTGAATTCTTTTTACTATTACTAATATTATAAAGTGACTTTTTTGTAGTCGAAATAAAGTGAATTGTATTTTGATTTGTTTTATTAATTCTTTCTTGATTTGTTTCATTAGTGTAAATGTATTTATCAATATTCATAACCAGAACGACCCTGCTCATGAATCCTAATGCAGTAGAGCTGCTGGTTCATTGGAATACATTTAAGGAAAAAAAGGAAAAAAATAAAACAAAACTCAAAGCCACAGATTCATTTGATGGGAGTGCACAAGGATGTAAAAATATTATCTTTCCAATCCCACAAGAACACAAGAAATGGTTTTTACAAAAGGATTCATTGATGGAACTGGTAGATTAAAAGGTCTTACATTCAGAAATTGACTCTGATCACTCTCTCCATACTCCCTGGTACTGTCAAAACTTGTACATAATTTCTACATCTCTAAAAGAATAATATTTTAGCTAAGTAATTAAGGATGAAAACTACGGTCACATATTTTCTTAACATATTACCACATTATAGTAGCATACATGATACATCTACCATAGAAAACTAACAATCCATACAACCTCTCCACGGTTATGGCTTTGGGGTGTGGCGGTTATTAGCCCCGGGCCCTGGATAATCGTTCAGCTCCACAACCATCCTTCCAATTACTTGATGAACCTCAAAGGTTTTCTGTAACTTTGCCTGATTATACAGAGAGAAAAAAAAACTTTTCATATATTGGTTTAGACTCAAAAGAATAACAAATGGAATAATTTTTTTTGTTTGTTAGTTGAGATTGTAAAAAATACCAATTGGTTGTTCTTGGGAAGCCAATGAACTTTGTACTCATGAGTTAGACTTCTGGTTCCTGAAAATAAAAATGAATTGGCTCCCATCATCATCAATAGAAGGAGTAAGAAGAGAGAGAAAGAAAGAGGAGACAGAAGTTGAAGGCTTACTAGTAATTGGGACAGCTTTGATGCAGATAAGGTGAGAAAAACAGAATAGAACTATCAGCAGGCGAAGGAATGTGCCTGCAGCCATTGCTCTAATAACCCTTCTATGCCAACTGATTATGAATGTTGTTTATTACCAATAAAGATAGCCAACCTAGCATTTCATTTATACATTCTTATTATGGGCACTTTCGTTGTTTGTAATGTTGGTTGTGGGCCTTGTGGCTATCAAATCGCACAAGTCAAAAAGGTGTTTATTAGCAACAAGATATCTTGTGGAGGCCTACATAATGGGGTTTGAATCTTGGAAGATCTGTGTGTGTTTGTGTGAGTGAGAGTGAGAGAGAGAGAGAGCAGTGCATGGTACCTGACTTTTGTTTTAAGTGGAGGTATGATGAGCAACATAAAGTCAAAATGGGAGCAAAGATGAACACACTGTGCAAGTGGAAAAATGAATTAGGTAAGGGAAAGGCTGAGCTTGCACTAAATTAAGTCAAAGGCCTAGTGGAACACATAATGAGATTTCATTTCTATACAGTATGATAATAGAATGAAAATCAAGGTTACATCCATGACCAAGATCATTTAATTCTGTAACTTAATTCAGTGCTCCTTGCAAACCCGACCAGAGGCGGGGGAAATGCATAATAGCTGCAAATGTGATACTATTTTGACCATGTAAAAGATGACATCATAAACAACAGCTTAGGCCTTGATTTTCGGACGAAAATACTATGGCAACCAGTAAATATATAATGGAATTTCGGAGAGGTGTATAAACACTGTCCACTTTCACTTTTAACAGCTCCTCTAAGCAAAATATAAGACATCTGGTAACCGTAATTATCACAGCTGTGAATTTTTTCTGACTTTGGGCAACCTCTGTTTTCAAATGTAATGAAAATATTTCCTGCCTGTAGTCAAACATGTGCTATCACTTGTAGTGTTCAAATTACTACGTAGATTTGGAAGCAACAAGTTTTAGTTGTTCTATTGATTGTTTGACTTTGAAGATTACCAATTTAAAAGGTTTTGAGAAGATCA